TGTTAATTATCTATTAATATTGATTAAAGAATACATTTTTTTTCGCGAGAATTGTACGATAAAGTAAGAAATTTTAGAGACATTCTATCGGAAAAGTATATCGGGAAAGAATATAATTAGCAGATATTTCTTTAATTTTAACGACTTACTTAGTTTTAATTTTTTGACTATACGCTATTAAGTATCATTACTAGTTTTCAATGCAACTACATTTCTTAGTTTTCTTTAAAGGAAGAGAATTCAGACATGTAACAAATGTTCTCTTCCTTTAAAGAAAATTAACAAATATAAGAAATGTTCCTTTAAAGGGAATTAAGACATGTAATAAAAATGTTCTCCTTTTTTAGAGAGAATTAAGACATGTAATAAATGTAATAAACATGTTATGTTCAATGACTGAGGTGTTTTTCTAACCGGTGAGTGTTTTTGCGCACAGTGAGGCATGCGTACAAGAAAGCAACATACATTTCATAAAATTATTTCCATAAGATTTTTTTTTTTTTGTTAATTCTCTCTCTCTTCCACTTGCCTTATTTTAAAGTGACGTCAATACCATGTGATTTTATTGTAATTTATTTATTTGTGTTCCAATGTTCTAAGTTGTTTTTCGTTCTTTATTTTCTTACAAGTGGGTTGTATGTACATTATAAATTGGAATTCTGATAATGAAAAAAAAAAAAAGCAAAGTAACTGAAAATGTTTTGTTTTAGTACTAAAACACACTTGTATAATAATACATTATATGTAGAGTTTAGTTAAATACATGTAGAAATATATGCATGAGTATCAATCGAACGTAACACACACACGAGCGCGCGCACACACACATACACACACATCGGAACAATCTATATTCACAAAGAGACATTATTTTGTTCATACATACATGTAAATATATATATGTATGTACAAGTTTGTCATTCAACTTTTATCCTTCTCTTTCAATGTTTTTATTTTTCGACCTAACATATCGTATATAGAAGGATTTGGTTCCATTTCCTGGTCTGTGTCGGAACTACAATCACTGTCACTAGAATTGTCGTATGTACCAAGACCTGGCAATATACCGATGCATTTGAGTCCACTATATTTATTACTATTTACTTGGTTTGGTACATTATGAGTTTCTTTATCTGATTCTCGACTAGAAGTATCAGCTGTTTGTTCGCGAGATGTATTTACTTTTTCCATTTTGGTAAGATCTGTTTCACCGTCGGATAACTTTCTTTTTATTCCCTTCGGTACTTCTGCAAAATTAACAAACTGATAATCTACTGACACTTATTATAGACACTTTATGTTCTATAAATTTTCCTCAATTTGTACCTTGTTTTTGTTTGTCAGTTCGTTTTATCACAATACCTCCTGGCAACTTTAATGACGATGAACGACTGCTAAAGATTAATTAGATAGAAAATTATTATCAAGAGATTGTCTGTCTTTCACGAAATAAGAAAGACTATTTGTAGATTTATATATTATATATTAATAAAGCAATATTTGCAACCTAACCTTCCACTAATAGCGTGTTTACTGCTGACAGGTGGATTCTTCAATTCTTGCTTTAACTTTTCATTCAATTTTTGTTCTTTTAGCGAAGCGACCTTAGCTTTATAATCGCGCATTTCTTTTTCTTCTTCGAGATTCTTTTTACGTTCTTCTTCCAATTTAGTTCTATCGACCAAATCCAAAAATTCTACCTCGTCGTCATCTAATCCCTTAATCATGTTTTCTGTAGAAATACATATTATTTAAAGAAATACATATTGGTTTTATATAACTCCAAATATTATAAATATCAAGACTTTACTTGAGTTTTTCGTGGCTCGAAGCTCCATACATCGTAAATATTAAGATAATAAAAATAGTAACCTCTAAACTAATATCGTAGCAAATATTAGCAAACTTGTCTACTAGTGAGAAATTTATAAAAGCCAACATCTTACTTAATTTATGAGCTTCTTCATATTCTAAATCTCTTTTAGTTTTCTGTTCTTGTAATCTCTCGTATAACGATCTGGGATCATAAGGTTCTTCTGGAGCTTCTACAAATGATTATGCAAATATAAATTATACACATCCATATTGTGCAAAACAAAAACAACACTTACAAAACTCAGAAAGTTGTTAAATTTCTTATTTCTGTATTTAGATTATCTAGAATGTAAAAAAAAATGATGTATGATATATATAATGTTAAAGATTTAGTCTAACCTAAAGGTTGATCAGCAGTTCGTACACGTTCCCACTCTTCTTGTCGAAGTCGCCGTTGTTCGGCAATTTCTGCTTCTGATATGAAACCTGAGCTCATTTTTACAATTTTTGCATATATTTCTTTTTTTATGAAAAGCAATGTACAAATGTACACAAAAATTGTTTCTACAACTTTCTATGTAAAAGAAACGAGCTCTTTAAATGAAAGAATTTAAAATTTGTGGCGTGTATTATTATTCGGCGTGTGTGCGCTCTAAAAAAAAAAATGATTTTAAACGTTAGTTTTGACTATTTTTTCAAAACTGATTCCGATCACCTCGTAATATTATACAAAATGGTTTGGTTTGGTGCTCCTGTGGGGCTCAGTGGACCCTTTAAGCTGGTTCATACGTCTTCCATATTGTACAGAATATCGTGCAAAACGCAGTTATTAAGAGCCGTCTACAATGGAGAGTTGTAGGCCTTAATAGTAAGAAATTGACCAATCACAGACAAAGTGCAGAAGAATAATCGATTGTGATTTGTCAATTTCTTACTGTTACGGCCTACAACTCTCCATTGTAGACGACCCTTAAGGGTACCTTTTCATACAGCAGCACGCTGCTGCAGCAAAACGTCACGTTACTCAAATTTTCTAGGAAAACCTAGCTTTCGCTAGGTATAAGCTGCGTTCCGTTTCACGCATATGCGCGCATTTATCTATACTATACGTGACGTGTACTATAAATACATGCGCGCATATGCGTGAAACGGAACGCAGCCTATCGCTATCGCTATTCCTCCCATTGTGCAAGAGACTTTACATATTAAGCCTGATCTACATTGATCGCAATCGCAAACGCAAGGATCAGGTCTGGTAGAATTGACTAATCGTATTGATCACAATTCTGCCAATTGACCAGCGTGATTGATCATCAATTTTACGAGATCTATAACTTGCGTTTGCGCTTGCGATCAATGTAGAACGGGCTTTACATTTAACCAGTGTTTTTAATTCTAATTTTTCTATTCTAATATTTTCTCTATTGTGGTAGGTCCTAAGTTTCTGGTATATACTATCGAGAGTCGAGGTGTCGAATGTAACAATTTTCTCAATCAAATGATCACGTATGATTACGTGTAGACGTAATAATTTGAAACAGTTTGTTAATGGCAGCTATTGATAAAGTTAAAGTTATCGTAGTTGGCGATTCAGGTTAGTATAAATAACTGATAGATGTTTTATAGTACATACATACTTTTACATCTCAAGCATTACATATTGTTATACATGTGTTAATTTGAATACAAAATGAAAGAAAATTTGAGATTTCTCTATAGGAACTGATCTTTGTCATTGTCTTATCGTATACATATATATATCTAGTAATTATTTATATATTTTATGTATACCTTTCAAACAACAAAACATGCGCAACTATTCTCTAAAAAGTAGTTAATATTGTTGATATGTCACTCTTTTTATTAAAGAATATGTAATTCAAATAATGATATTATTTTAGGTGTTGGTAAAACATCATTGACACATTTAATATGTCAACAACAACCTATTAGTAATCCTTCCTGGACGATAGGTTGTTCGGTAGAAGTAAAACTGCATGAATATAAAGAAGGAACACCTAATCAAAGAAGATATTTTATTGAACTATGGGATATTGGTGGCAGTCAGAGTCACAAAAACACAAGATCTGTGTTTTATAATCCCACAAATGGTACGTGTAAACTTTACAGTAAGGAAAGTATAATAATTAGATGTGATAAAATGATTTATGTTTATAATTAGGCGTAATATTAGTCCATGATTTAACAAATCGTAAGTCGCAACAGAATCTGCAGAAATGGCTAGAAGAGGTCTTAAGTAAGGATGGAACTTTTTCAAAGACAAAATTGTTCGAGGACTTTGATCCTGAGAAATTTGTGGGTTCAACACAGGTAACAAATAATCTTTAATCCTGGAAAGACACATTTTTTTATTATAGTAAGCAGTTAAAAAAGTGTATAGCTTGATAAAAACGAGTCGTTTAATATTTTCTTTTAGATACCAATTTTAGTAATTGGCACAAAACTTGATTTGATCTCAGAATCCAACTTCATAAAGTCAAATGTACAAAGACGTTCGGCAACTATTGCGGAAGAATGTGGTGCTGACGAAATATTTTTGGTAAATATTACATGGTCAGTCAGTTATTTCACCAAGTTTAGCTCATTTATTTTAACAGGATTGCCGCCAGATAAGAGCTTTAGCAGCAGGCACCAGTTCGTCTGTAAAGCTTAGCAGGTTTTTTGATAAAGTTATTGAAAAACGGTACTATTCTTCCAGAGAAGCGCTCAGTCCGGACAAACGGCGAGCGCCGTACAATTTCTCACTTTATACAAAATTTTATCACAACGATTAAGTGTATGTTACGAATATATTATATTTATAAATTATCTCGTAGTTATGAAAGAAATATTTTCCTCTTATGGATAAACCAAACTGTTGTTCTTACTATATAAAGCGTTACACAAAATTTCGTGGATTATGTAATTGCGGTGCAATCTTTCGCATTTCTTATCTACATTCCTAATCTTCCCACGGAAATATACTGATTATGTTTAAAGCATGCTGACCATAACTATATTGAATTGGCCTGTGAGTAAACATGTTAATAATATTAATCATATACCAATATTTGTTATTATTCATTATTCATTACTTAATACCAGATATTAATCGATGTAAACTAAGCAAAATATCCTCGAGTGATTGTGAACAATATAGAAAAAAAATAGACAACGTTCGTGATATTTTTCACATATCTATGTTGTGAAGCTATTGTATCGTTATATAAGATACATTTTATGATTATATACCAAGATGTGTGTATGAATTACTATGATACACGATATTCTATCATTTTACATCAAGTAAAGATCGATGTATATATGAATTGTTTAAAAAATATATATGTAAAATGTGTTTTCTTTTTGTTAAATCAATATAACAGAGATCTTGATCGATAGAATATAATTTCGATTTTGAATCGCCAACTGCGACAAGTTTATCAATAGCTGCCATTAATAAACTGTCTCAAATTATATATGCAAATTACGTAAATTAGGATTAGATTAAATAAACATATTACACGTCACGTATAGTATAGATAAATGCGCGCATATGCGTGAAACGGAACACAGCTTGAGTCACAATTTTTCATAGCCATTGTGTCATATGCTTTCGTCAGACTGCGCGTGGCGCGAATAAATCGTTCGAAAACGTTAGTCCTCGCTGACGGACGAGACGGAATACGCGTAAACATTCGCGTGTTAATTTTAAGCTAACCGTAAAAATTTGTCATATCTTCAAAATTGAGGTGTAATTTTCTAGTATCTTATTTAGAACTGACTGTGACTATCTAGTTTAGAACACATATTGCTATTGTTTTTTGCATGTGTGTACAATACATGGTTCATCAAGGTTATCGTATCTATATCATTAATAGCACTCTGATCACATTAATAATTATCCGTATCTAATTTCTCGTTAATTAATATTAATTATTATATTTTTACTTTAGCTTAAGTTCTTACAATAAAAATGTTCAAGTATAAATTGTAAGATATGTGATGTGACAGATGTATCTCGGCAATTATCAAATGGTTTTTTGTTTGCAGATAATATTTTACAATCATGACGTATTGTTTCATAAAGAAGTACATTAGTATATGTTATTTCCCTCATCTTCTGATGCGTGCTCAACCTATAATTGGCAATCAAAGATGTGGTTATGTACACGATGTAGATATAAATGGACCTGTCAGTATTTTGAAGCAGAAAATAGCCAGGGGTGAATTAATAAATGACATGCATCAAATGAAGGTGACACATACTCTAGAAAGAATTTATCAAGAAGTGCAAAATTACAAGCCGCAACAGTTGAATCTGTTGGAGAAATGGTTTGGTGCCAAGAAGAAGAAAGTACCAAAAGGATTGTACATTTATGGAGCAGTAGGTGGAGGTAAAACAATGTTGATGGACCTATTTTACAATTGCTGCCAGGTACCTCTCAGATTGCTGTCTGCACGAGTATTGTGCATGGAAAAAAACTATTGAATATATCATAAACTCTTGATATATATATATATATATATATACATATGTGTATGTCTTCTATCTGAAAAGCTGAATCTGAAAGATAATAAACTATAAAGATGGAAAAAGATATTTTTTGTGAAGAAATGTTACAAGAAGAATTCGTGATATTAATATGAAAAAAATATAAGTAGTTGATTGAAATAACTAAATAAAATCGAAATAAATATAAAAGAAATAATTAAATTGAAACAAATTCAAATATAAATGATTTTCCATGTACAGTATAGGGTAAAAATTGTAAAAATTTTTTACAAAGTATATTATATCTCCAAGTAAGGATATTTTATTTCAGATTGAAAACAAGAAGAGAGTTCACTTTCACTCCTTCATGTTAGATGTACATAATAGAATACATGAAGTGAAAAAAACCATTGTACGAGATGTTAATAGCACAAAGTTGCAACCTTTTGACCCGATACCTCCAGTTGCAGCTAATATTGCGGAAGAAGCTTGGCTGCTGTGCTTTGATGAATTTCAGGTAACACGATTTTTATTATCTCGAAGACAAGCGGTAGCTGTATCGTACATCAAACTAAACAAATTTTAGGTGACAGACATCGCGGATGCTATGATATTGAAACGATTGTTCACAAAGCTGTTTGATAATGGAGTAATAGTAGTTGCAACTAGTAACAGATCGCCAGACGATTTGTACAAGAATGGATTACAGAGAGGAAACTTCGTGCCGTTTATAAAAGTATTAAAGGATCGTTGCCTGGTTAGCAATTTAGATTCCGGAGTTGATTACAGATTGAAATTGGGATCTGGAAACAAAAAGATATACTTTATGTATGTAGAAACTGAAGCGTCGTTTTAACTTTTTAAACGTTAAACGTTTTTAACGTTTTAAATTTTTTATCTGTGTTGTCACTCTAACAAGTTATTATAAATTACATAAGAAAAGGCAAAGACGCTACAAATGATGTGGATAAAGTTTTCAAATATTTGTGCTCGATGGAGAATGATGTGGTACGATCGCGAACAATTTCTATAAGGGGACGCAACGTTACTTTTCGAAAGACATGTGGACAGGTGCTGGATACCACATTTGAGGAATTGTGCGATAGAGTAAGAGTTATATATAAAGATTATATAAAGGATTTATCTGTCAAGATGCGTATTAAAGCTAAACAAACCAATGATTTTCGAACAGCCTCTCGGAGCAAGCGACTATTTGCAATTGAGTCAAGTATTTCATACAGTTATAATAAGAGATGTGCCACAATTAGATCTGCGTTTTAAATCTCAAGCAAGACGATTTATTACTCTGATTGATACGTTATACGATAACAGGGTAAAATATTCTCCATACATAAACTGTAGCCTTAGAATCTGGATACTAGTGGGGAAAAATCTAAAGAAAGATTGGAGTATAAACATTTCTTATAAAATAATTTAATATAAAATGTGTTTTGGTTTCCGCGAAAAGATAAAATGATGTATTATATAATAAATTATTAATTAATTAATTAAATAATATATAATAAATTTTATAGGTGCGTGTAGTTATGTCGGCAGCTGTACCACACACACAATTATTTCTACCCGAAGGCGAGTCTGAGTACACAGATGAGAAAAGACTATTGATGGATGATTTAAAAATTTCTCATGGCTCGGTAAATATAGATTCTGCAAAGAACAAGTCAAATAATTTTATGAAAAAACGATGATTATTTTATTATTCTCAGGACGATCACAAGGCAAATATCTTTACTGGAGAAGAGGAACTCTTTGCGTTTGATCGAACTGTGTCACGTCTAGCTGAGATGCAGACTTTGCAATATTGGGAACAATGGGAACATCATAGATAATGATTGCGTTAAATAGAGCTGAAGATATATATGGTTCTATAGGAATTTATTTACTTTTAAAAGTACAAGTATTACTAATGCGACTTATCAGTGGATCTCATGAGCAAAGTTACTTAACTAGTTATTTATTTATATTTTTTGTTAATTAATATTTGGTGGTTAATTAATAATTTACAAAATACTTTTTATGATACAAAATTTTAATAACGTATATATTGAAATACATAATATTTTTTACACATATTGTTTGCTCGTTACAACCTACTGTTATATTCAATTTGTGAGCTATATTTATATTCGAAAATATGAGAAGTCTGACAAAAAATCGTATGTATATAATTGATTGCAAATGTAAGGGATTTATTAATTTTTTTTAACATAATTCTTGGTCCACAAAAGCGGAATAAAAACGTGTTATGGAGGAGGAGGCAATCAATTAGAGTAATTTCGTTCTGCAAAATTGTGTAACATGTCGATGTGACTGGAAAAGCGCTAAAAATCAGAACGGAATAGCTTGTTTATTAATGATTGGGTGATTTCCTAATATAAATCTTTTCCGTTTTGATCTTTTGATTTGAATGTGACCGTATTCTAAAAGAGAAACGCCAATAGAATTACGTAACTGTCGCATTGGCCGATTTGCTGGACATAACTAATGCGATTGGACAAATCTAGATGTAGCCTATACTCGCGATCGTCGCGAACGCCAAATGGAACTTACTTCCATAGACTTATATAATAGACGGAGCATTCGTATAAGAGGAGCTGAAGACTTCGTTAAAAGAGATAGAAATAGTCGTGGAGCAGTTCTCTTCTTTTCTAGCAGTGAGTTGATTGGTGGTTGCGGCAGGTCAAGGAAGGTTTGGTGCAGTTGTGGCTCAGTGGACTATACAGGCAGTACAGAAGATATAATTATTTCAAGCAGTTAGGATGAAGATTTATTATTATTTTCATTGATGAAATTTTGTTAACAAGTCGTCAAAGAAAACATTGCATCAAAGATTTGAAGATCTGCAAATTTATGAATTGTTGTTTTGATTGAACTTTTTTAATAAACTTTTTCAATAAAAAAATCGCACTCAGTGCGCACTAGTGCAGGCTATCGAATTCGTAGTTAGAGCGCGTTGGGGCATGCGACGCGAACAAACTTTATAAATGCACCGAACCACTTGTTGAGTTATATCAGCGGATATATATTTTGTGTGTACTACGTGTTGTATATAATATATAAATCTTAGTTTATGTTTGTATCATTCAGTGATTTATTTTTCTTATTTTTGAATAAACTTAATACATAGTTTCACTACTTGGAGCAGATAATTTTTATATAGTTTTTCTACATATTATTTTCACTTCTCTCTCTCTCTCTTTTAAGTTATGCCTATTTCTGCCGAACTGCAGTTGCTCACTGCTATTGGAGGTAAGATTTTAACGTAACAATTATGTTTTATATTTTTGAATGTAACCGATTTTTTTTCTGTTTGTATATTCTTCTATATATAGTCTTATTTATGTACACGTAGTTATACACTTTGTAACTTGTATATAATGTTTAGAAGTACACGTTAATGAGCCAGTGATAAATAAATGTAAGCGACAGATAGAATATCTTGCGACAACAATAACAGGAGAGAACAAAACAGCATGGCTATTGAAGGCAATAAACTTTATTGATTTAACCACTCTAAGTGGTGATGATACAGAGAATAATATAGAAGACCTGTGCAAAAAGGTATATTAAAATTAAAGAACAATTGTTTTTTGAGATAAATAATTATTTGCTTTAATTATAGGCTACAAAACCCATGAATGATATTCCAATCGATTGGGATAAACCACTACATACAGCAGCTGTTTGTGTTTATCCATCTAGAGTGCCAGATGTAATAAATGCGTTAAAAAAATTAGAAAAAACAAATATGATCAAAGTGGCTAGTGGTAAGAAAAAAAGATTGTTTCTTCTCATTTGATATGAATGTCTAATTGCAATGTTTTTGAAAGTGGCTGCTGGATTTCCTTCTGGACAATATCCTTTGGAGACTCGATTACAGGAAGTACGTTATGCCATGCAATATGGAGCACAGGAAATAGATATCGTGATCAACCGATCGTTAGCCTTAAAGCATGATTGGTTAAATCTTTATCGCGAGCTGCAACTTATTCGTAATACTTGTGACGAAGGAATTGAGAGAGAAGGAAAAATATGTTTGAAAGTTATATTATCGACAGGAGAATTGTTTAGCTTAAAAGATGTGTATAAAGCATCTTTGGTAGCTATGTTTGCTGGCGCTGATTTTATCAAAACATCTACAGGAAAAGAGACTGTTAATGCAACTCTTCCTGTGGGTATTGTCATGTGCAGAGCAATTAAAGAATTTCAAAGACTAACTGGTTTAAAGGTACTGTAATTTATTAAAATACTAGTAGTTTTCTCATATCGAGTCAAATTTTACAATTTACAGATTGGCTTTAAACCTGCTGGTGGTATTAAGACCACACGAGATGTTCTACAATGGATGGTCTTAATAAAGGAAGAATTAGGAAACGAATGGCTGTGCGACAATCGTTATTTTAGGATCGGTGCATCTAGTTTGCTCGACAATATTATTTGTGAAATTTGTAATACCAATAAGCTGGGTTCAAATCTCGCCGTTGGAAAAGAGTAACAAACTGCGAGTCGGCAAGAATGACGAGAAATTGTTAAGGAGAATATATTTATTTTAAGGAATCTACTGACAAATTTATTTTAAAGGAAATATATTTTTTAATAATTAGATTGTTATGACATTTTTTCGATTAAAATGCCACCAAAAACACTTTTATATAAAATTAAATTTCTTATAAAAAACGCCTCTAACAGAAAAATAAATTTCGTTTCACCGAGTGATCTGAAATAAAAATAAACTTTTTAATATGTATAAGTTCGTGACAAGAAATGTGCTACTAATGTTATACACCGAATATCGAAAATAGCGGCCTTTCAAATATGAAAATGTGATTTTTGGCGGAGATTTTTCTTGTTCTTTAATAAAAACAATTCTGTTGCAAATATTGCTTCGTAGCTCATGCCATAAAGAGACATGATTTTTACACGCGTGTAAGATTTTAGAACAATATCTTTAATTCTAGTTTCTACGGAATTTGTTCTGTTACTTTGAAAGATGTGATTTCGAGAAAAACGCGTTTAAAATTGATGGATTCCGCTTATGTTACTTGCGTATCGCTTTGCTTTACGGTCTGTAACTTTGTCAATTCTTCTACTTTCGACTTGAAATTGTGCAAATATATTTCTCAAGGCTTTCTGATTTTTGAAATATTGAAACACAAAAACCGACTTGATCGGAATACTCATTCAGACCAATGTACAATAAAAGATATGTTTCCATTTTTACACAAGAGTTGTAATAATTTTTTATAATAGTGTGTGTTGGAAGAAGTGCAATAAATAACGATTAATTTCAAACTAAAAAATTGCAATTTTATACGTTTGTTAAACTTTACAGCGTATTGTAACATAGCAATACGGCCACTTAAAATATATATTTATAAACTTTATTATTTTATAAGAAATTACAAGAACATCATGTAGAATTCATTAAAGTAGTCGTGATATCTGTGTCTAAATATATCAATCAGTAAATAGATCCTGCGTACACAAACGACATAGTATATAGATGTGTATATAGATATAGTTTGCCATTGCAACATGCAAATATAAAACTTAAGGTCTCAAGTATTTTCCTTAAAATTAATGAAAGTTTATATTGAGTTAAATTTTTTAGTTCTTTTTGTTCTAATATATATATATATATATATATATATATAATAATAATAATAATAATAATAATAAAGATATCATAAAACACGTAAATTGTAAAAAGTTATAATAATCGAAAGTATCATTCTTATTAGTGGAATAAAATTGTTTTCTACGAATTTTTAAGTGCATTTTGGAATCAATGTACATATATTTAACATGTATAATGCGCTTTACTTCTTTTTTCTATGATTATTATTTCTTTTTCTTAATCCTTTTAGCTTATTTAGTTTGCAAATTTGTCACCGGAAATCGAGGCTCAAATCCAATATAGATCGATCAGTAAATAGATTTTGAGCCGGCGACCAACAGCCGGCCGCTGGTAGTATTTGCAGCTTGCAAGCTCGCTGCATCTCTTGCGCCTTCTGGCAAAGCTTATCGTGACACCGTTTCGGGCGCATTGCACCGGGCAACGGCCGGGTCGGACCTGATGTGTGTGTCTATCCTTCCGTCGTCTATTTTATTCCGCTTTAGTCGGCTCGTCGGCCGATTCCAGCGGCTGTCTCTTCACGCAATACAGCAGCGAATGCCATTACGCTTGTTTGCACCCTCTCTGCGTCACGCGCCGTAGCCAATCAGCAACCTTCTGACTTGCTTGGAAACTTATATCTTCGCCAAAAGCGCGACTCGGCAAGTAATACATACGATACCATCAGAAGAGTTACCTACTTCATCAAACACTATATTTGAAAATCGCCGCTTCCGGGTACACATCATATAGATTCATTGCTGGCCGATGATACACGACGGTCGTTGGCCAAAGCCACAAGAAGAAATCGCGAACCGAAAAAATCGCAATGGGAATTTCACAAAACTCTAAAACTCTGAAAACCTTATAAACTTTCAGTAAATGATTTTACATTGATACAATTCGCATATCCATTGAAATTTTGTTACACATATACACAAAAATAATCGAGTTGTTACACATGTATATATAAGTAATTGAAGTTTTACTTACATATATGTATGTAAGTAATTGAAGTTTTTTAAGCCATATTATATAGTCGCACACGTAACATTTTATATAAACTTTTATTAGATGTTCATTAGACGTCACATGGATCGTTGTGCACTTCTATTAGACGTCTAGTGAATGCTATGTTTGTGTGACTAGATATACATTTAAAACATTTTATATACATTTGATAAATATATAATTATTTTTTAAAGCTTATCTAGTAGTTTTGGTTAATTTATCCCATAAAAATAAAAAAATTGATTGAAAAACACATTTTAAAGGAAGAAAATTATAATTGGCTAAAACTCGCGATAGCGTCGTTTTATTATGACGGTCGATACAAATATTGTTGTTTACTTGATAATGATGTTTGCTTCTGTCACATGTTTCTTGTTTACCAAAAAGTTTATTTATTGACTTAAAATCTATGTACTATTTGTGATTATTTATTTATAAATCTACTTTGGCATTGTGAGAAAGAACAGAAATCGTTGACCTCTCTTTCTAAATGACGAATATTTTTATCATCGGGATGATATATTTACTCTTTCCTGCCGCACACTTGCGTAAACACTAAAATAGCGTTAGGAGTTGCAAAAAATCATATCTGATATTTATGTTGACGTCTCACTTTGCCAAAATTTCGGTTTATTCACGAATCTTGTATAATTAGTCACAACCAAACTTGAGATATTTAATTAAATACAACGTCATACAAGCTAAGATTATTTATAATAATTAAAAAATGCTTATGAAGACAATCTTGATTAGTTTGCACATATATAATTTTAGATGTAGACCATCATGGCAATCAACATAAAATTTACCAAGTTTGATAACACACCGTGGGGCTTTCGACTAGCAGGCGGTAGCGATTTTCCACAGCCGCTTACTGTCATCAGAGTGAGTTTGATTTTTTTTATCTTATAAAACATAAATAATCATCAAGAATGTTAAAATAATCATTTATGTATGTATTAAATACTAAACTATAGTTTTTTTTTCATCAAAAAAGGATTAAAAACAATAAAATATTGAGACACTTTGTGAAAAATATAAAAGAAATTATTACAGTAACAACATTCGCGACCGGTAACGTAGTCAAAGTTCTACGTCATTTCAAAATCTGTAACCTGAGGTTTGGCAATGTAGTTCTACGTTATTTTAAAATCTATGTTTATTTAGTTAATAAACATATAGTGTACTATGATGAAGCAATATATTTTTTATATTCACAACCATTTAAATAGCAGAACCTTGCGGTCTTTGCGGTAATGTCTCACTTTAAAATCGCCGGTCGCGAATGTGTTAAAGGTTTTAAAAGAATGTCATATAATGTATGAAATATGTGCGGGAATAATCTAACAGGTCAATGAAGGTAGTCTAGCCGAATGCATGGGTTTAAAAGTAGGCGATATTGTAGTAAGACTAAACGATCAGCCGATTAGCAGTTTGACTCATGGACAAGTGCACGAAGCACTTAAGCACGCTGGTAACAACTTTATTCTAGGTATACAGAGGTAAGACAAAACTATGATATATTGTAGACACACACACACACTCACATATATATATATATATATATATATATATATATAATTAATATTATTTGAAAGATTATTGAAAACAAACAAAAAGAATGTCGAGGCTGGCAGATTCCTTTTCAATTGCCTTTTATCTTAATTTGGATTTAATTTGAGAGCGATAGGATACATTTGCTTTGAGCATCAGCTTATCTTTGTTCTACATTTAATGAACAATAAAAATAGGCGCTTAAGGTGCACAAGCGCCCAAAGCGAACGCACCTATAGTTGAAGAAAGCTGTAATTGAGTTTAATGAGTCCTCAAGGATCTCACTAATTGTAACGAAATGCAACAAGCTGCGCGGCGTATTATTCATCGCCTGTATGTACATATATATGTACATATACTTATAGTCCCGATAATAACTCGGCAACGGCAAGAATATGTCCTAGCATATGAGAGCTATATAAGTGGCAATGTATTGCGACACCTATAAATAGGTGACCCAGAATGAGAGATCTGTTTATCATTGGTCGGCGTTTTTATTGCGCTGGTCTCTCGGTTGCGTCCTATTTCTTGTCGCATTCGCGGGACCTGCCGCATCGGAGGTAGAGAGCAAAAGGGAGAAAGAGAGAAATAGCAAGCGAAATCCGCGCGGGGATACAACATTTGGTGCATATTCGCGTCCGCGATTGCATTAATCCGCGAGCACACGACATATGAGTCGGCGATACATATTCACCGCGAACAAGTTGAAGAGAGTATATTTTCTTGATTTGGTGCGTTTGTTGTCTGAGCAGAGAGGAGGAGACACGAAAGGCTGCTGAAGTGATATCGGAAGATAACATCGTTTCGTATAAGATCGCCGTGAGTATATTGTGCGAGATGAAAGGCTGAACAACATCTCTGCGCGTTTCTTACTTGCAATGTAAGAGGGGATAACGCAAACATTTCCCGAAGCATTCGAAGTTCTTATCTGCAAGACTTTCTCACGTTCATGTTTCTCGAAACTCAACAAGTTTTTATATGTTGAAAGAAAAAAAAATACTATTCATAAATGTAACAAATTTCAAAAACCAGCTGCGCAACATTAGCAGAAAAGTTATTGAAATAATATACTTTAGTAAATTCCAAGAATTGCCTTCTTAGATGACGTGTGTCACTATTGGCCACATTCTTCTTGTCAAAGTTGCTAAATCGCTAAATTTTGCGCTTTGTAAAATGCATAAATCATTATAACGAATCAAAACAGAAAGAGATGTGCAATATATAATAAGATTGTAATTCCTATTTCTCTAATAAGAACTTCGATTGAAACAATGTTTTCTCTCTACTGGAAATTAAGTATTCTCAATGAAGAAAATCTTTGAAAATCTTGAATTGATCTGACATTTAGAAAAAGATACGATATAGCGGAGAAAGCAACGGCAATATAATGACGTCGAGTTTGCTTTATTAGCTTGCGGACTTACCGCCAGTCTTCCCAGAGGAGATCTTGAAAGAGGAAACAGTAATCGAGCGGTACGAAGAAGAGAAGAACGTCGAGCGCACAGAGCAGTTGTCCGTCGAAGAAGAGGTCAAACGAGAAGAAGTAAAACTTGCGGAAGAGAAACCGGTGGACGCCAACAGCGAAATCGTGTCTAACAAAAATCTTACAGATGACGAGATCGCGCAGCTGATTCTTGAGGAGGAGGAGCTCTTGTCCGATCAAGGATTATTAGGGTAGATATATTTTTACGATTGTCGTTAAAATTATATAGAGTGGCACATATACAATAACTCATCTATCAAATGTGTATTAATTTATGTCATTCTTTAAATGATAAGAAAAACTGCACTTAATTTTTTTCTACTGTCAATTCTCTTTGTTATAGTTTGCTAATACAATTGAACATGTTCCGATTTACGTTTTTATATATGATCGCTAGAGTTAACTTCAAGAAGCTGCGACCGCGAGTCTCGATTCTAAAAGGTTCGAAAGTTTTGGAAGAGCTGCAGAACATCGCGACAGCCGAACCTAAACAGGTACGAGAATTGAAACGCACTTCCACTTTCCTGCAGAAGCCACAGCGACCGGTTCCAAAGCCGAAGTGCGAGGTGGAAAAGGTGGAAGAAGACGACGGTGAGATATACAAGGTCGTAATTAAAAAACAGGACAAGAAGACGGTAATCGCGCGTCTCGTGGAGAAGGGCCTGCTGCCGCCGGGGTCGGAGGTGACTTTCGCCAGGACACCGGAACCGTCGGAACTTTCCGAGGTAAAGATGCATGAAACGGAGAACAGTCCGGGAGATCGTCTCCCCCTCGTTTCGGATTCGAATTCCTCGTGTTCAATTTCCCCTTTCGATAGCATTGATGATGCAATGTCATTCTCCTATTGTTCGAAATTTGAATCAAGCGAGAAAACTCTATCGGAAAATCAGCCAGCGCATTGCGCGTCGTACAAGTGCAAGTCGAAGCTGTTTTACGCTAAGCCAAGCCATTATCGAAGATATAGTTGTACTGGCGAGTACAACGACATCAAAATAAAGTCGTCTGTTAAAGGTTATTATTTGGAGAACATACTTCGCGGTTGCGTTCGCTCCTACGCACCTCGTTATCAGCAGATCGATAATCAACTTGACGAGATTGCTAAAACTAAGGAAGATGTTTGTCTCAAGAAGTATGATTGGCTAAAGAGTATTGGCCTTGATGGTCTTTTATCAAACGAGAAGAAAACGACAATGCGCAGATGCGCGCGAGCTCATTACGCGAAGAGGATCCTTTTGCAGAATGTCAATACCGTCGCTCGACATCTTCGCTCGATGTCGAAGACGACTTGCATCTCGAGAACAAACCGTTGTAGAACGAAGGGAAGATATATCACGACGTACTTGGAACGTGAGAGCGTCCGGCTTATGTCTTTCATAACGATGTTGTTCCAGTTTCTGTTGCAAAAACCAGATGTTTCCAAATCGATGAACATGTTGAAAGTTCGCAAGCAACATATGAGTTACAAGGGTCGGTATTTCGAGCAAGTTTTTCAGAAGAATGTTATTCTTGTTATCCAAACTGTCAAAGAGATAACCTCGGTTGACAAGCAAAAAGTTGGACTAAAATCCAACAGGACAAAGGGACGTTACATGGAGAAGTATTTGTATCGACAGAATCTTCGTTTCAGATTTGCATTGACAAACTTTTTCCATTACATTAAGCCCAGTTTCGATATCTTCAGCATTGACACTTTATCGAAAGTAAGACGCAGGAGATTGAGAGGTCGGTACTTTGAACGGTTCGTTCGCAGAAATATCAAGATCTTCGAGTTGTTCGCGGATTACGTTCGCTCTAGGATCTCTGAATGGTTCGAGAAAGCTCCATCATGCACGTCGCGAAAAGAATTTCCTCTCATTACTCTTGGTGCTTCCAACTATATTGTTGATGATTCGGTTCTGAACAAAGTTAATGAAGACGCTCGCGATAAAAAGATTTTCGAGTGCGACAAAGATGGTCCTTCGTGCTCGTCGCAGAAAGAATCTTTTGCTGTCGTTAGTATTGATAATTCAATTTCAAACGAGGAAAATATCGATAAAAATGATCACAATATTTCCGAAGAAGTCGAGTTGACCAAACCTACAAATGCGCTTGTTGAGAATGACTCTGTTTCAAAGTTTCTGCAGTCAGCCGAAGATTATATTTCCTCCGAATTATTTCATCGTGGTAATAGAAGACTCTCGAGATCTCGCAAATCCATTGATATCGTTCCCAAGGAAGATAACAACGCTTTCTCGAGATTTCTGCAATCGACCGAGGATTATATTTCCACTGAAATTTTTCATCGTGGATGTAAAAAACTCTCAAAGTCGCGCAAGTCCATAGATGTTTTTTCCAAGGAAGACGACAAAGCTCTGTCGAAATTTCTGCACTCCGCTGAGAATTACATTTCTACTGAAGTTTTCCATCGCGGTAGCAGAAGATTGTCAAAATCGTCCGGAAAGGAATCAATCTCTCTCGCCGCGCTCGCTTTATGGGATGGTTTAAAAAGCGTACATCTCAATTTGCCTTGGTTCTCGCTCAGAATCATTGATAAGAGCGCAATAAAATACGACAAAATCTGCGATAAGAAAATTGATGCAGATATCGAGTTTGATAATCGAAGATTGTCGTTCGTACCGACGATCCTTTATAAGGGTATCACGAATCGCATCGGCGTCGATTTTACGAGACTGATAGCCTATGCCTTCGTGCCTTGTACCTCGCTCATACTTTTATACATGTATAGATAAGTGTTCTATTATCTATTACTTGTTTTTATGTAATTTATTTATTTATTATTAAATTTAATCGGTAAATTGCAGATAATTGTAATCAGCCTTGAAATATTTAATGAAATTACTTAGAAGTTTGATATCAAGAACGAAAAGCGTCGGTGTGTTAATTTAAATTATTATAAAATACGTGCGTCCCTATCCTATGATTTTGTATTTAGATTATTTAAAAATAGATGTTCTACATCTTAACTGACTTAGTAGATCCCTTATATGCTTGTATTTGTGTTCTAGAAACTCTTACAAAAAATAGATCGTTGTAGATTACTCGTCGATACAAGTGTCTTGTAATTAATAATATGTGCTCGTCTTTACTTCAGTGTGTAGTAATATATCATGTTTTGTTGTTTTTATTAGAATATGTCTATAAGTGTCAAGAATGATTTTAGTGATAAGTGTCGGAATGAATAATCAGAATAAAATGCTGCGTCATGCAGTGAAAGACAATCTGATATATGAGAGAAAATTAATCTGTAATTATTTTGTATAATACATAAATATATGTACACATATATATTTTAGTTGATTTTTTGATTCTTTGATTGTCTAGATTTACCCTTACGGAAAAAGCGTTCAACTATTGACCGTAACGTACGAAATCACGTTCAACTTGATCGTAAACTTTCAATATTCAGCGTTATATGTTCAATTTTGAGCGTTAACGGTCAAATTGAACGTGATTTCGTACGTTACGGTCAATAGTTGAACGTTTTTTCCGTAAGGGTAGTGATTAAAAATTATTAAAACCGTTGTTATCAAAATGTTTTTTTCGTTATACTTCTATTACGAACTCTTTCCTTACATGTATGTACATGTATCAATATCTACTTGTCATCTTTTATAAAACTAATACGAACGATAAGAACTAAAAAATATAAATGTATTTATAAATGTATTATGAATATTTATCTATTATACTAACAATAAATATATATTGTATATTGTTATAAGTTATTATTATTATTCATAAGTTTTTTATTATTTAATTTATTTAACATCTAAAATCTATTAAAGAAAAAATTTGATATTTAAATATTGAATCTAAATTGAAATTTGATATCTAAAAATTGAATCTAAATTGAAAGATAAATGATTTTTTGTGACAACTACAATATTTTAATTTAATGTGTAATTTTTAATACAAAATATTTTGAATTTGTTTTTATTAAAAAGGTAGGTGCAGAGTTTACGATCTTTAATTTTTTTATTGATTGTGTTTTCTTTAAAATTACGTACATAACATTTCCTAAATATAAATAAACACTCTAATATATTAACAGCATAATGCACTAATTAAGTTTTGCATCTTCAAAAGTACAACATCTAATAACATTACTCGCAAAGTTTATATTCTTTGAACGAAAGAAAATTATGAATTTTCTGTGTCGTTCGCGCGCACGCAATCTTTAGAATCTAAAATTCTCTATTACATATTATAAATTTTATTCTTTAAAAGCTTAACGGGATTATACAGTCAAATACATTTCAAGCATATTTCTAGCATATATTTTTTTTATGCTTCGCTTAAAGTCACATATCTGTTTGATACTTTTTTACAACTTTCACTTGTTTCCTGATTATTTAGGGAATAACTGCAATTGCGACATCAGAATCTACAGACAGAGCGGAACAACAAGAACAGTCTGATTTACGACCTGCATCGAAGGCAGAAGAAAAAGAAATAAGAAACGAGATCGAAGAGAACGAAGAAAACTCCAAGTCCAAGGAAAATTCTTGTACGGCAAACTTTGCGCAGGAAGAGATAACAGCGTATGAAGAGGAGTCGAGTGTTTCGACAACGGATACGACAACAATCAAAGTCACTAATGAAAAGATCAAAAAGCTAGTTTCTACGGAGATCAGCAGTCTTGAACAGCAGTTGGAGAACGTGCAACGGCAATTGCTCGCCCTGAAGCAGCTACCAAGCGAGATCGAGAATCACTTAAGAACCGTATCAGATCAGCTGCACAAGATCATGGAACTGAGCGACATGCAGCGATATCTTAACAACAGAAATGGCGGCGGCTGCGGATCGTCAGGTGACCAAAATTCACGTAGTCGAAATAGCTGGACCTTGACGATTAATCCCTAAGACATATTTTTTAAGTTCCGTTAAGCTACGTGATTTGGACGCTGAATAAGTGCCAGTTTATACGCGTTAAATTCGTTAGCTATAATCGATGAATGAAATTTATCACGCAAAAGAAATTTTTTTCTGTCAGAAAATGTGATCGGACTCAAGGAGTTTAGCCAAAGAGAATTGAAGGACATACAACTGTCTGCGTGTTTTGTAATACTAAAAGAAATTCATTAAATTAATTTTGTTTTTTTAGTATTGTGTATAATTTTTGTACATTTGTTCTTAGAACGTTTTTTTTTTGTAAATTTATGATAAGTAAGATCTAAGCTAGTTAAATCACAGTATTTTAAACTGAGACATATATTTAAATATTCTTGTAAGAATTGATTGAATTAACACACTAACAGTAAATTTGATTGGTTATTTTGATATTGATTATTTAGAAGAAAATGTTGCGGTGCGACAACAGAATGAACAAGAAGTGAAAAATCAGGAAGAAGATACCGATGAAGAAGACGAGGAATTTACGGAGACTTATGATTACATCGAAGAGATTGCATGCTTGGAACAAAAGACGTCATCGAGGTCAACACCGCAAGTGCTCGAGTCCAGTGACGATGAGGAAAAAATAGAAGAAGAGGAAGCAGAACCGAAGGAAATGATGGAACTGGACGGTATGATTTCTGTAAAAAGTACGGATGAAGAAGGAAATAGAGTGAAGAAGTTCATCGTTTCTTACGAGACTAAGGTGTTAAAATCGCCCAGTCCTGCACTATCGCACGGTAAATTTATATCTTTTTAAATTTATCTCTTTCGAACTCAACTTTTAATTTGACAAAAATAATCATAATCTATAGCTATGTGAAGTTACCAAATTAATTAAATTATTAATTTGCAAATTTTTATATCATTATTACGTAATGACGTAATGATTTCTTGTAAATTCAATTCAAAACAATGAATTCACATATAATATTAAGAGTACAGTATATTTGTGTACGTGCTTTACACACGCACAATGTAAGTAATATTTGTGGAGTAAACTAAAAAATTTAAGGATAAACAAATCTAGGTAAATCATAGATTTGCCGCAAGAATTTTATAAGCATTCACAAGTGAAAATGCTGATGCATCTTCACTGTCGATTCAAAATAATATTCTTTTTTTTATTACAACTCAGATTTGACAGATGATCAAAAAATGTGTAGGTAGACAAATGTGATAAATTAACGGCAAATGACGTATAAAGTTTATCACAATTTGCAAAGTATACCATTTCACATAGCTGTAATCTCACACAGAAAAAATATATCTCTATTAAACATTTATTAGATATCGCATGGAGTTGACGTTTAATAGATATTTAATGGAGTTTTTCTTCTGTATTGAACTTGTATAAACTCAAAATACTTTTTATATATATATATATATATATATATATATAATAGAAAGTATAATTCTACGAAGTACTGATATAATAATATCGCGCACATAAAATACCGTGATGATATTATGTGCATTGTTCTTATTATTTTTGTGCGTTACACATGAATTATATATAAAATATAATGTTATGTAAAATACAATACTAATTATAGGAAGTTTCGAACCAGATTCTAAACTGTCTCCAAAAGATCAAGTTATACAGGAATTGCAGGTATCACAATAAATGAAACGGGAAAGAGATTCGTCTTACGTTGCATCTTTATGAAATTTGTGTTTCCTTTTTGTCTGTGTTTAATAATTACAAACATTATGCAGGTTTTGCATTTTGTTAATTAACATTATTCTTTAAAATAAGAAAATTCTCTTCTCTTAATATTATTAAAGTATGAATGTAGTTTCAAGATTTCCTTTTAAATAAATCCACCAGATAAATCGAATTATAAAATCTGTTATTTAAACTTTTGTCTTGCAAATTTGTTGTTTTCTACATTACTTTGTTATTTTTCAAATCTGTCGCCCTTATTTAATATCAAAAGCGTTTTGTAAATTTGTATACGTTTTTATGCAACTGATGCATGGTGAACACGTGAGCTTGAATAAAATTGTTAATTTGTTGCGTTTTATATTTCAGCAAAAATTACGCATGAAAGATAAGAGACACTCGCAAGATCTCTGGCCACAAGCTAAACAACTCGAACTTACGCAAGGTCGTAGATGGAGATGCCCGAATGATTTTTTCAACGACGAAATGATTGCAGAAGTGTTGTCCTCCCAGGCAGAAGTTATTCGTGGGAGAGCATTGGGGTGACAATGACTATATAATTTTACTATATATATTGTTCGCACACAAAGAGTATACAAAATATGATCTATCTTCAATATCTTACAAAGATATATTTATGATAATATTGTTTAATCGTAATGTAAAGTGTTAAATTTCTAATTGATCGATACAGAGTAAACTTTAAGAAATACGAGAAGACGAACCTACCAAACTACGACCACTTGATGAACTCGAGTGTTTATAAGATGATTCATAAAATGGAGAAGGAACCGAAAAAAGGGATCCCCGCCAGACCTGCTAAAGTTAATGCAGCGGAAGACATAATCGAGAGAGTTGTAAGCTTTTTTTTTGTAACCTTTTACAAGTGTCAAATCATCACTTGTCAGAGAAAAATTGGAGATGACAAATTATAATAAAAAAATATAAAAATCTCGAAATATAATTTTTTATGAAAGTCTTTTAATTGTGTAAATATATTGTTTTAAAATAAACTTGATAAAATAAACATTTATTAATTACTTATTAAAAATGTTAAACTAATAAGATTAACTGTTTTAACTAAAAAGATTAGACTGTCTTAACAAAATTAGAAAGAAATAAAGGATTAAGTTTTTGTTATTAATATTTTTTTAGAAATCACCAGCATTGAGCGTTGTAGACGACCGAAGTACTCGCAGCGTCAGTCACTAATTCAACAGCAATCACAGACGATTGGAATATAATGTTATATTTTACACGTCAGAAATTTGTCTTTTGAAAGATATGTCATAATTTTAGAAGAATCAGAAAAATTGCTAAATATTATTAAGAATATAATTATCTGATCTGAAATATATTATCGCGTATTAAGATCTTTGACACGTGGCTGCAACAATTCTGAACACGTGTATATGAGTTGTACAAGAGTATTGTACGTTTGCATCGAAGTCATGAAATATCTTCCCTGGTAGCAAATATTGTATGCATTAATAAAGAAATTATAATCTTTTTCTTAAGTTATATTTGGAACAATTGATTTACAAAATATAGTATTGCACAAAATTGTACACACATCTGTGTTTAAATGTACGTAATAAGATACTTTGTCTTTACAGAACTCTTTGTAATATTCTAAAGTGTAAAATTAAAAAACTATTTTGTGTCGTATTACGCGTCAGAATAATTAAAACTTATATTTTCACAAAATATATATGACTTCTTTATTCTATTTTTGTACTAGATTTACTTATTGTACTTAATTTTTTGTCATATTAATATACAAAGTATCTACCGTGAATCATTACAATCACAATAATCGCGTCTTTAGAACACCCTATGTACATCGTTTTACAAGTGTCATTACAATTAATCTACGTTCGCTCGACGTAGATTAATTGCGCGGAAGATTACCGGATATAAGAATACGCGAAATCATCGAAGTTAGAAAGATAAGTTTCTCAAGCAAAAAAATGCGATTATCTGCTCACTCGGAAGTTCACTCGCACGGTTACGTTTTCGTAGATGAGTCTCGCGACAGTAGTTTCTTCTTTCTAGGATTCTCGGAGGTTCCTATTATCCGCGTCTTGACATATATACATACGATCGGCTGAGTCACGTCTGCCTCTTCTGTCGGTGAACCTCTTTTTCGTTTTCCCTTTCTCTTTCTCTCTCTTTCTCTCTCTTTCTCTCTCTCTTTCTCTCCATCGTCCTCTCTGCTCCTTACTTACTTAGAGTCCCCGGATCGTGACGTCGGCCTCGAGCAATTTATGTAAAGCATTCTAGGCATGATTCACGAACTAGTTCGCGCCCTCGTGACCGCCACTGGCGCAAAATGTATTTGCTGCGTTCGGTTATAGCGCATTGAAACTCGGGTGCATCCTTTCGTCCATATTCGAATGTTTCTGTCGCGATTTTGTTCTTTTTTTTACTTGATAATACTTTATTATTTTAGTTTTATAGTCATGTAAATTCTCTCTCTCTCTCTCTCTTTCCCCTCGACATTTTAATATAATAGAACAAAGCCAGATAGAGAGATATACGTAATTATAAACGAAGAAAAACACAAGAGACATAAATGTATGTGCGTTCTTCTGTTATGTTATCTCTCATCGAGATGACAACTCCACATTCCCGATCTCGTTTTGTACTTTTTTCTCAATCATCACATAATAACGAAAATGGAGTGCTCTACCAGGTGCATCGATGTTTATGAACACATTCTATCATGCGGTAGTTTTTCTTTTTTTAATGAAAAATATCATTTAGAAATTTACTTAGGGGAGACTGGGGCTGGTTGTGACACGGGTAAAAAGTTACAAGCTTTGATTAGCGATGAAAAATAATTGCAACAACGATGATGTTACTGACGCGTGTGACGCGTGACAGTTGTCTCTTTTTAGCTTTAATGTAGCACTTATTTTTCATCACTAATCAAAGCTTGTAACTTTTTACCCGTGTCACAATCAGCCCCAGTCTCCCCTACTTAAAAGAAATAAAAAATTTTTTACCGCTATTTTCTTCAATTTATATATATAGCGCGACATTGTTTACATTTTGGTAAAATATATTTTTATTGTTTAATTTTTCTTCCAACAGTTTACAGTTTAAGTTTGATGACAAAAGCAGTTTAGACATATAGAGAAATTTCAGCAAAAATACTACGAGTGACAAACAGAAAAAATCAGTTTTTGTTTGTCTCTTTTTCACAAGTCATTGCTTTTACTTTGTTATCATGAGACTTGTTATCCCGAGAACTCAGATTTCATAACTTATCTTTATAAACCCGAAACTTCCAAAAACAATTCAAAGTTCGGATGTAAAGTTTAAAGATCATACTATTACAGAGAACGTCGAGAAATTGTTATTAATATCTATTTTAAATTCCTAAAATTACAATAGCAGTACAGTTTGTGTTTTGGCATATAATATATATCTATTTCTAAATGTAAAATATTTTGTGACATTTATATTTTGATAAGTACGTTCCAGATAATTCCTGGCAGAACACAATAAATTTGTTTCTCTCTTCCTCCTTATCCCCGCATTTGCTTTTTGCCGTACGTTGTGTCGTTTCTCTCTCTCTCTCTCTCTCTCTCTCTCTCTCTCTCTCTCTCTCTCTCTCTCTCTCTCTCTCTCTTGCTATTTCTTCCCTTTCCGTTCGCACTCTTTATTCTCCTCCTCCTAGTTGAAATCGTATGGAAGCCCCGCTGCCCGACTGACCGTCCTCGGCGCCTCTTATACCTTTACTCCGGTCTGCGCGTTCTTCAGGAACGTACGTGCCCGTTTCACTAGAGAGAGCGCGATACACATATTCCTCTTTTAATACAGTACGTACATACGAACAAGTAGAAGTTGTCGACGCGATCTCGTCGGTGTGATATCTCGCAGTAGCTAAGCTGAGTTAAAGGCTTGTTTATCAACAATTGTCGTCGCTGATTTTCAAGTTGTTTTCGGTAGATTTGTTTGCTACAAAAACAGATCGACAGTTCGAACAGTGATATGGCACAACTGATCAGCGTCAAACTGTCAAGGTTCGACGGGTCCCCTTGGGGCTTTCGTCTGCAAGGCGGCAAGGATTTTGGTACGCCGCTCATCGTTCAAAAGGTGAGTCAAAATTCGAAATATTCTTTTTTCTTTCCCACAATTTCTAGATTTTTTAACAATTTGATTGATATTTCTTTACAAGAAATTTTCTTTATCAATCGTGATATAGAAGGTAATATGATATAGAAGATATTATAGTAGATGACATTTTACAATGGTAGACAAGTCTTAAACGTTTCTTCTTTTATTAATTTATGACAATATTTGTGTGAAATATTTTGTATTTTATAGAATAATTTTGTATTTTTATATATTATATTTAGAAAAAAAGAGAAAAAAAGAAAGAGTATGAAATACGTATATAAATTTGTTCTACATTATGTGTAAATCTTGTAATATGTATACATTTTGTTAAAAAATAAATAATTTGTATAATATAATACTTCATGATGAAATAAAAATGTACAGACTAAAAAGAGCCCAATTATATATACATTCATTAAAGCTCTGATGAATATATCTATACTATTCATAACATAGTTTTAGATAGACAACGTCTCTTTTATCTTAATCGTCTTTTATTCTAATACACAATGTTTCTCGAATTAAAGCAAAAAACACAGAGAGACGAATTTTTAGACTCCGAAAGAAAACGTCGTTTTCAAAGAGCTGCTCGAGTTGGACTTCAAGTTAACTGAGGCAGAAGCGGTAGTAAAAATATTTCTTGCAGCCGTTTATATATAGCGATGTATTATATGACTATTTTGATCTGCGGTTCCTCGTCGTTCGCTTTCACGACGTTTCTTGATAGTCGATTTAATAGAAAAAAATCAGCCTTGATATATCTCGCACGCTTTCCAAATCGTCGAACATAATGTCAAAATCATTTATTCAACACTTTTTTGTACAATGTTCATTTTGTTTGCATTTTCTATTCACATGCTGTTCACAAGATATCAATTAGTACAATTCGCGCAAATCGCGCAGAATAGAATTTTTATTGATCATAAACAGATCAATTTATTTTCCTGCAATTGGATCATCGATTCAAATGTTCCGCGTTCTCAAACAGTAGTGGCTTTTATACATGTAAAACTTGATTTTCCCGATAAAGTTTCTTTCGAGACTCTCGCAATTTCATCATTGCTTTAACTTTTATTATAAATAAAATATGTTTTGCTATGTGTTTATTACATTACTTTATTAAGTTTACTCACTTTATTGTACATATTACTTCTCACACACATGTACAATTTTCTACTATTTTTTATATAATTTTGAAAAGTTCCTGTTATATTAATTTTGTAAACTATATAGTACTTGCACAGCGCTAAAGTATTTTTTTTTTTTATTTATTGAATATGACAATTTGAAATTTTTGAATCTCCGATACATGGACGAAAATAATGATAACAAGCTAAACAAAAGCAAAATGCAATCAAAACCTCTCACGATTCTTGTCCTCGGAAATGGAATCTGTATCAAAGACTGAAATCGACACCTGACAGTCAGCGAGCACGTGTTAATGCTCCGTACGCAACGCGAATCTCTCGGTTACAATATAAAATTTGAAAAATATTGAAATTGATAAAGTTTCAGAAATTATCATGTAAAAAATAAGATAAATTATTACATAATTTTATAGCACACTAAACCACGAATAAGTTATGCTACTTACAATTTATTCTTACATCAAAATTCAACAATGTTAACATTATAAAAGTGTGAAATTGAAAGATATAACGCATTCTTCTTTATTTATGAATATAATTCAACATATACAGATTTTTTCAATATAATAAAAATCAAAATATGTATTAATCTCTAAATATAGAAAAAACTGATTTGGTACAAAAGTAGGGAGAAAAGAAAGGGAGTGTGAATTTTCTCTCGCACAATTTCGCGATTGAGTGTGTTTTGACATTACAATTTAGTATAAAGATGCGTATGCGTTACATAACGCAGTAGTAAACGCCAAATTATTTCACACGTATCGGCAGAAATCGTTGCCAAGTACGTGCGAAACGTCGGACTCGCCGCCACTGCCATCGCCACACTTCCGTCGTGTTTTGGCGATGCTCGGCGCTGTAACACGAGAAGCTTTGGCGAACGTGCGGAGACGCGATATACATTTTTTCTCGCATTTTTTTCGAGCGATTAAATACTATTCCGCAACCATAACCACTATTATTAAAACGCACCATCAATGAGTGCCAATGTCAAGGTGCGTTAACCATAGTCGGTTTTCGCAGTTTGAGTGAACTGTCAGAAATTTGCATTGTTGGACTTTTAATGTTGTCGAGTTTAGTTACTAATTCGCGCAAATGTTTGTTGACTGAAATGTTTGATGATTGAAGAGAGTTTGTATTATTTTGTCTTCTTGTTGTTTTCGAAAGATTAATTCGTGCACGTGTGTGTGTGTGTTTCATTTCGCTAGAGAAGTCATTTTAGTAACATTCTTATACAAAATACAAGCATATTTAAAATACAAGATTATATTTTTTTTTGTTTCTAAAATAAAAACAAGTTTTGCGAAATTCAACACAAATTATTAGTTTATAAGGCAAATTATTAGGCTTTTACCTACAATTGAAATCGCGAAATAGTAGATTACGATAGAAGTTTAAGTATTTTGAAGATAGCAATCAAATCATATTATGGCAAGAACTCGCGTCTTTGACACCATTGGATTCATATTTCTCTCCTTTCTGAGAAAACCAAGAGCAAGAGAACATCTGCTGTATTCGCGGCCTCATAAAATAAACGGACCACGTGGTGTACTACGAAGAAGGCCAAGTTCGAAACGTCGATTACAGATAAAACCGTTCAGGACAATTGCGATAAAAAAAGTTTCTGTTTTTTACCTTTACGAATGTTATACTGGAAATACAGAAAAACACACGAGAAAGTAGTGATAAGAAATTTTCTTTCGATCTTTCTTATCGAGTAAACTAAACTAAATAATTTCCTAAGTGCTTCGAAGATAAATAAAAAGATAAATAAAAAGATAAATAAAAAGATAAATAAAAAACAATATTTATCTCTCGATGTTATTGTCTTGTATGTAATAGATATATACACGAAGTAAAAAAAAATACATTATTTTATTGTTTTGAAAATTACATAAAATGGTTTTTTAATTTCTGGAAAACTTGCGCTTGCTAAATCTTAATTTGAAAAAAATTGAGAAAAATTTTACAAGGATTAGTCACATCCGAATTGACAAGAGAAGAAGAAAGCAGCGTCGTGCGTCGCTGGTAATCCGAGGCAAATTATTTGGGCGTTCTATTTCTAGACGGTGCTTTTGCGAAAGCCGCACGCGAGCCGGGTTGGACCTCGCTCGCGACGATGACAGCGGCAGGCGCCGATTTTCGACAACGCCTGACGTCGTCTCCGCGGGATGTTGTCTTCCTGACACGGATAAATAATTTGATTGCGCGAATATCCGGTCGTGGATAAAATCAAACATTTTTTCTGTCGGTCAACAAAATAGAAAAATATTTAATATGTGTGATGTTAAAAACTATAGACAGAACACACTTTTTAACAAGATTTCAAGAACTACGTATGTATAGGTCTCGTTGATCATCAGAGTAATAAATATTTTTATCAGCAAAACTACGAAAAAGTCATATCAAATCAAATGGAAATACGTTTCCTAATTATGAGAAAACAATGACAAACCAATTTGAAGTGCTTTGAAGTAATTGAGATGTTGATAGTTTTAGAATATTTTCGACACAATTGTTCACTTTTTTGAATGCTCGTAAGAAAAAAATAATAAAAAATATAAGAAAATATTAAAAAATATAAGAAAAAAATAACAAAAAATATAAGAAAATATTAAAACATATAAGAAAAAAATAATAAAAAAACTTATTCGAAATTTGTGAAAAGATTCTATCTGCACTTTTCGTGATTTCACAGCGAGTGTACCAGAATATAAGTGTTCGAATTAGTGCAATATGTCGCTGGAATACGGCGTGTTCGCGCACACGTGTCGCGTTATCGCGTTGTAGAAGGACTCGGTACGAATTGCGAATGCCTTTAGCCAGTTACGACGTCACGGTAACGAAGAATTTTTCTGGGTGCAAAAGAATCATTGCAAATAATAGAAACGATTAAAATAACTAGTTTGCAGTTATTTTTTGACGTTACATTAATATCACGCACGTGACGTTGTTCTAATAATGGTATGTTGTTCTGCCAATTAAGCTACACTTCCTCGGGCGTTACATATACGCACAACGGAATTTTAATGAGACCGTGCGAGAAAGTATTTTGTCTCGCAATAGCGTTGCGTTTTGCGTTAACTACGATACGAGCGTCGTAAAACAGCGTCAATATTTTGTTAGAAACGATTATTATAGAACAATAAAAAGGTTTATTCAAGTTAATATAATTGATATTAATTAATTAATTGTAGAGTAAATATAAGAAATATAAGTAAAAAGAAAAAGTTACATTTGTGAAGTTTGTGCGCAACATTTGAGTTAGTTTTGTATATTTTAAAAACTTTAATTCCATTTGAACTATTTCATTGATACTAAATAAATATCATTTAAAATCTTTTATTTTTCTGTGTTTGAATCTTTTAAATAAAATTGACAATCTTGATTGATTTAAGATGACATAAATAAACTTCTTTTCAATAAAGATGAATATATAGATTACATGTTGCAACAGTTGTTAGTCTGCCAAAACCATGACTCAACGCGATTGCATTTCATGAAAAGAAAGTTTGCAACAATATGTCACACTCATTTATAGCGTAACAAAACAGATTACAAAATGCGACAATCTTATGCTATTTGTTACAAAAACGATTGCGTTTTGTAACATTATGTGTGGATATGAATCTATCTAATCTTAAACAAACATAATTTGCAAGTTTTAAAAAATGTACACAATATAATTATTATACAATATAGTTATTTTAATAAGCAATTTTCTAACTCAGCTACTGAAATATATGATATATAATCTCTCACTGCATCATATTTTACATAAGAGGAAATATTTACAAAATACATCAACTTTTATCAGGAGTCTTATCGAAG